GGACTAGCTCAGTATGGACCCTTCTCCCCAAGGGCTCTCCTTACACTGTGGTACTTGGGCAATTGGTGGAGCGGATGTGGCTCAGCCCATGTTTTGTGCAGAAGGTGTAGCAAGGTTAGGATGTGACCCTGACCTCGGGCAGGTGAGTGCAGTGCCCCTTACCTTCCCCTCAGCCTGGTGGTGTGTGATGGTGGCTATAGGTCCCCATAGCAGGGTGATTAGCCTGAGGGTGGGAAGGGCTTGGCTGGGGGAGTTACCCTGTGGCTGGAAAGGTAGCGGAGATGCTGGCACCTCCTTTGGGGACCCACGTGGTGATGGGGGTAGGGTGTGAGGATGGTGGGCTGGCAGCCAGGCCCTGTTGTGGGGGCGTCTGGCCTCAGGGCTGTGGATCCAGAACTGGGAAAGGAGCTTGGGCCGGGAGATGGGGCGAGGGAGGCAGGCTCAGGGCGCGCGCCAATGACTAGGAACTATTTTTTATTCTTTCCCTTCAATCCTGGGCTAGGAGAGGGGAAATGAAGTCCTTTTGGTTTTCCCGTCCCGGGTTCCCTAGACACTGCTGCCTTTGTGTGTCCACTACAATTCAGTGAGTTTCCAGAGCAGCTTTTGTGTTCCCAGGCTTGCGGGCTGGACTTAGTCCTGCTTGTGGAGGGGTTGGAGCTTGGCGAGTGGTGCCCTAAGCTGGTGGGGCCGGGGAGCCGTGGAGTCCATGGAGCTGTGGGGTCCATGCAGCCACCCTGGCTTGGGGCAGGAGCTGGAATAGCCACAGTAAGGAGTGTTTCTGGATGCGTCTGCTTCCACATTGAGGTGCCAGGTTGGTGGGGGCAGATCTCACTCTGAGCAGAGGCTACCACCTTGGGGGCAGCATGTCCCAGTGTCATGTGAGAGAAAGGTTGGGTTCCTCCATAGGGCCAGCTGGCCGGGCAGCCTGGGGAGGCGGGGATAAGAGAGGCAAAGGCTGATGGAGGACGGGCTTCAGAGCCAGGAGGGAAGGGGCTGCCTCCCTCTTGGGAGCTTGAGTTGACAAGAGGAGGAGGCTAGTTTGGGAGGGGAATGTAGTTTGGATTGCAGGGGGCCCTGGGCTGCTCAGGGCAGGCTGGTGGAGGGGGTGGTCCTGGGCAGAGCAGCTGGACATCAGACTGGGGAAATGGCTTCCTCCCGTGGTCTATAGGCAGGGCTGGAGGTGTGGTGAGACTCTGGCGAGACATCAGGGGATGCGGGCCTGGTGGGAAGGCTGCCGCTCTGGGGTCAGGCTTCGATGAGATCTGGCCCTGGACAGTCAGAGTGCAGATGGTCCTCAGTCTCCACCACCGCTCATCCCTAGGCTAGAGGTGTGTCCATTTGAACATTGTCACCCTCAAAGGTCGTGCCCACCTGGAACCTATGATTGTGACCTTACTGGGAAGTGATGTCTTTGCAGATTTATTGAGATAAGATCGTCCTGGTATGGGTTGGCTGCTCTTCAGGCTGGTATGGGGTCTGCCTAGGCAGACACAGAATCCATCCTTCCCCAGGGCAGACATGGGACAGAAGTGCGGCCTGGACTCAGCGGGCTGGTGTGGTTGGTGATGTGAGTGTAGAGTGTAGTCCTTAAGGCAGTGTGAAGAGTCTTTTGAAGAACCCAAGGAGCTTAGTTGAGAAGGGTGAGGGCTGGGAGTGGGGTTCTATGGGGCCCCTGCTCTGGTGGGCTGCATGCTGGATGCCCTTCCACTGGGAGGACGGCCTGTGGTCGCCTGGCCCTTGCATTCTGCTGGTGGCAGGCAGGACACTCAGTGCCTTTGTCCATCTCCCGGTGCAGCTGCTTCATTTGCTTGCCTGAGCTGAGGGGGAAGGTGGCCCCAGCCTCAGGGAATGCTGGCAGCCCAGACAAGGAGATCTCCTTCGGCCCTCAAATGTCCAAGAGCTTAGTGTGTGTAAGAGCACAGCTGTCCCACTGTCCCCAGATGGCAGCCAGCCAGGCACCCCCTGCCCCAGGGTCTGTGGCCTCTGCCCTGGCCAACCCCTCAGCCTCCCTTTCAGCTGCTGTTCCCAGTGGGAAAAGGGGAGCTCCTGCCTTTCAAGAATGAAAGGAAGTAGATTATACATTGCTGCATGTCCCCTACCTAGTTTATTCTTTTATTTTTTAAATAATTAAAAATCCAGTAGAATGGTGGCTGAGGGGCTTGGGGGAATGGGGCTTAACACTCATGAGCAGGGTTCCAGTTTTCCAGGTGAAGATTTCTGGAGCCAGGCATGATTGTCAGTAATATAGGTAGCACCACTGAACCGTACACATGACAGTGGTGAAGTCGATACATTTTATGTTGGCTGGGCGCAGGTGGCTCACACGTGTGATCCTGGCACTCTGGGAGGCTGAGGTGGGTGGATTGCCTGAGCTTGCATGTTCAAGACCAGCCTGAGCAAGAGCAAGACCCTGTCTCTACTAGAAATAGAAAAACTGAGGCAAGAGGATCGCTTGATCCCAAGAGTAGGAGGTTGCTGTGAGCTATGACACCATAGCACTCTACCCAGGGTGACAGCTTGAGACTCTGTGTCAAAAAAAAAAAAAAAAAAAACCGATAAACTTTATGTTATGTATGTTCTACTGAAAAAAAAAATGGGGGAAAAGGTAGTCAGGAGGCATGATAGGACGTTTGGAGAGAGGATTGCTGAAGGCCACTGTGAGCTGACAGTGACACCATGACCGGCACCATGTGTCCTGTGTGAGCACCAGGGGGTTTCCAGGACCCCTGGCTGTCCTGGGGGACACTGGGAGACATGTTGTCCCTAGAGCAAGACCTTTTCCATGGCTTGGATTTGATCCTAGTCCTGTGGGTCTCTGGACATGGACTCACCAGTCCCAGGGCGTCTGTGTCCCGGGTCCTGTGTACCCCAGTTAGCGTGTTTCCTTTCTGGTGAAGTGGAGAATTTGTGCGTGAGCAGCGGTGGTCTCGTCATTGTCCCCCACTTTAGTCCAGCTGTCTTGGCTGTCCTGCAATGGCTGTCACTCCTTCATGTATCCACTTGCCATGTCTGTTCCCTGTGTCACTGTATCTTTAAATTGTCACTTTGTGACAAGTGTACTTTTTCATACTTTTGTCTAGTTGTGTGTTAGACTTTGTTACTTTGTGGTTTTATTTTTTAGTCTTTTAAGAAAGATCATCTTCTTTTCTCTAGGGGCTTGACACGTGCAACATCCTCTTTCATTTTGGTGTGTGTGTTATTACTTTACTGCCCTTTAGTCCCTCTGGGATTCACATTTCTCCCAGTGATATTTTTCCAAGTGGCCAGCATGTGCCCCTGACCCTGTGAGTAGGGACACCACCTCCCCTGTCACCCGCAGTGCTGCCCACTTGGGATCCAGGGTGTCAGGACCACACTGCAACCCTGTGAGTAGG